ATATGGAGTGTGTCTGTTGTGCTTTGCCGCTACTTCGATAATTCTGCCATTAACTTCATGCACTATTTAATGATTGAAAAACAAACAAACAAACAAATGATTAAAAAAAGTGATTCTGCAGTGAAACTTAACATATTTCCATATTAGATCTGAATATTTTTTCTTTTACACAATATCACAATAGAAAGCGTGTCATATATTCTTGGCCTTCTTAGCTCTAAGCAACCTTTCTTTTCTCCCCATCAATCCCACTCCTTTTGCTGCAAACAATTTATATACATACATTTATCAGGTACATTATCCTCAGTTTCTCTCTGCCCACCCCGTCATTATATTTTAAAGAATATAAAATTTCCCAGGCTTCCGTAAAGAGCGCTAAACTTTCATTCACCATTATCTCCCAGAAATAACAATTCTGTCAGGTTGGAATTTTTAGTGTCATTTTCGTTCCTGTTTTCCTTGTAACTTCTTACTCACGTGATTGGCCCATCAATTCTCTTACTGCTCATTGAATGTCAATAGAAAAAGAAAAGCAAGTCTTAAGTCAAGCAACGCTAAAAGAACTGTGATCGTATTTTTTATGCATTTCACCCCAAACAAGGCGAAAGCGCCAACAGCACGCAAGAGGTTACAGAGAGTTTAAGGAAGAGTAAAAAGGGGCGTTTAAGAAAAGATAAAATGATAGACGGGGATAAAGGTCAAGGCATCAGAAGATGTCGATTGTCGTTAGATTTAAATTGTTGAAGAGTATAGTTATCAGGGAAGCAAGTAAAAGGAAGGGAGTTCCACTGTCGGGAAGTGAGAAAGAAGCTGTTGGAGTAGAAGAGGCGGTTACATTTAAATGTTTCGACATTAAAAGAACGGGATGGGAAGGCCAATCTAGTAGCACGCTTAACTTCATGCAGTGAAAATAGCTCTTCAGAGCAGTTGCCATGAAAATATTTGTAGAAAAGACAGAACGAAACCACATCATGTCTGTAATAAAGTGACTGGTATCGAGATGCTAAGTCAGGACCTCTTACATTGCATATCCGTCTGTTGATTTTGTCGAAAACCTCAAGATGAACAGCGTTGGTACCAGACCATATATGGCAACAGTATTCAATGCAAAGATGAATGGTAGATTTGTGTGTATATATGATTTCGATTATTTTAATCACAGAAGAATTTGATATACACTTTCGAATTTCCTCTGTATAAATCCAAACGCCGCTTTACTTTTGGAAGCGTAGCCCTTTGCTTTCTTGACATAAGCAAAGTAAAATAATGAAGATTTATTATCTAGCATTAATTTGGTGTCAGATTTAGGAGACCTCCTACCATTAAGTCCTTGACTTTATTTCGATAAGAAGCCATTATTTCACGTTGATTTATGCTGTGGCTTAACGTACGTTGCACATGGGAATTTTCTTTCATAGTATGAAGGAAATATTTAATTCCTTCGGGTGAAACCAAAGTGATTTGTCAATCAAAATTAATTCAAAAACTCAAATGAACATAACAAAAGTAACATTATTTTACCTTAAAATCTTCATTGATATATATACAAATGCAAAGTATCTAAAGATGTTAGAGACGACATGTTTGTCTTTTTATACATATTTTACTGTAATCGTATATGAAAATATCATTTCGTGCCCCGTGATGTATTTTCACATAAATACAATTATTTTTGAAGATTTCGGTTTCTTGAGTATTCATGATTGAAAGCCAAAACATTAGAGTTATGCAAATTTAATAATTTTATATTTGGATTTATCGAGGTGTTACTAAAAAAATATGTAATCAAGAAGATTGCGACATTTTCTGCAAGTTCGCTTGGCGCCTTACCTGTAATTATTGTCATATTTACCTGGTGTAGGGATCCGTCCCTGCGCTGGTTGTATCACGGCTACGACTATCTGGGACCGGCTCTGGCCTGGACCAGCTAGGACAAGCTATGACTAGCTTAGACCAGCTCTGACCAGCTAGGACAAGCTATGACCAGCTAAGACCAGATTGGACCAGCAGCCCAAGTGAAAACATTCGGGTTCCCACGTTAAAAACTGACCTTGTGTTACAACCTGACTCAGTTGGGGGTCAAGTAAATATCTACCTGTAATTATTGTTAAAGCGAATTAATATGTAAAATTATTTTTTTTTTTAATCAAGAATTTGCAGGATATTTAATGCCAAAATAAAAATTAGATTGTGAGAATTTTGTTGGGTAACAATGAACTAATAATTCTACTTATTCATTACAAGTCCTAATTATTATCACATAACTGGGGGATGAAAAAGTGATTTCTTACTTTTCTCCGAGCCTATTCACACGTAAGTACAAAACCGAGTGAAATTTGAACTTGGTTTTCCGATGTCCAAACCCGAAACGTTATCCATTACACCATGCACACATCCAAGCATACAGCACCTTCTATTCCCAAGCGGTCACCCATCTATATAGTGAGAAAATTCGATATTGCTTAACTTCGGTGATCGTACGAGAACCGGTGTTTCAATGTGATATAACAGTAAACAAATGTATACTTTATATCGTGTTAATATCGTTGCACTAGTTTGCCCGATAATATATTGGAGGTTCTAGAAACATGTAGGAATTTCAATATATTCATAGCCTGAAATGAAATAAGCACAACTTAGCTCTGAAGTTTTCACTGTATAATGTTTGATTTATGATATTAATGTTCCCCACTGACGTAAGTGCATTGATAAAGAAAAATATCATACTGAAAAATAAATATTAGATTGTCATGCATGAAACGATGCACTTATAGGCACCATGTTGATGAATGACTGTTCTTCAACGTACATCTAAATTCTTGATCTCATCTTTAAAAATATTCTCATCTTTTAATTTGTTAAATAGTTCAAATGATTTGATTATCTCCTTCTTATTGGTAATTATTTTAATAGGTAAGAAAAGCTCAAAATGCTTAAATAAATGATAATTAGAAGGATACATATCAGGTGAATATGGAGGATGGTGCAGAACTTCATAATTCAGGCTATGCAACATTTCGATAGTTGATTGCTACCATGAGTTGTCTTGCAGTAAACGTGGGCCATCCCTATTCATAAGTCTAGGATATTTCTTTTTAAACGTTTCGTGCATACACTCAATTTAACCACAATACGAGGTTGCTATTTTTGTTTTCCCCTGAAGTAATAATGAACAATGAATAACCCCTTTGAAAGAACACCATAGAATAACCGTTAACCTTTTATAATATTGGGTGGTGGTTTTGGGTATTGTTTTGGTGATTTCCTTGCTTCTAACCACTGACCTACTATCTTACCGTTTCAAAGTGTATCTACTTCTCATCGCATGTAAGAATTTAATGCAAAAATGGTACTCATACAGTAAAATTACTCAGAATTGTTTCATTGTATTAATTTTCATTGGGCTTATGAGTAAGAATATATTAAAAGAAAAATTATCTCGAAAGAAAAATGATTCAGGAAGAAGCCAAGATATTTTTATATACTAAGGAGATTAAATCGTTAGACAACTGGTTAAACAACCACAAAAAGTGTCATTTCATGTATGCTTTCATATGTGCAAATGGAATAGTTTTTCTATTATTTTTATCATCCATTTGCTTCTTCTTTGTGTTGTTTCACATCAGGAAGTTGGTGAGCATAGCTCATCACAACTTCCTTTAATTTTACCTCTAAGTAAGGTTTTTTTTTTCCTATACTTTTTCTTGTTTTGTCATCCATTTACATAAGCTCGTTAATCGCTACTTTCCTATGTCAATTTTAACTTAAGTATTGTCTGCGAGTTTCAAATCTTCCAAGCCCTCTTTCCTTAGTATGTGCCCTAGAAATTTAAATTATATCCTTCTGTTTCTAATCATAAGTTCCCACGTGTTTTTTTTTTCATTTCCCTTCGTCGTTTCTCATATACTGAGTACTCGACATTCTCAACAGTTTCTTTAGAAGAACCTTTCTATTACATAACATCTCTCGTTCATCTCTGAACATATAAGAATACAGATACAAGAGCGAGCACATAAGCACACAGAATTATATTTGAATTTCGTCTCCAAATGCATTTTTTAAAGTAATTCTTAGAGCGTGACCTTCGCAATCAGGCGAAATTATTCTGCATTCATCCCGGAAAACTGAAGGACTATAAAAACCTATGAAGGAAATATACTCCAAAGCAAGAATAATTTGCCTTGTATTATTTATGAAATAGAAAGATGAAAGACAAAAAAACACCGAATATTTCACTTCCGTAAATACATAAAATATAAGAGATAACCAATGAATGCGGGTTCATTGCATCAACAGCGTAATATATACACGTGCCATCGTTTTCGTAAATGATTTACATTAAAAGTTCGAAAAAACATCATCCATTGGATCATATTGGGGAGAAAGAAGGATTTGTATTACTCCTTCTTGGAGTAGGTCAGAATAATGTATATTATGTTGGTGAATATACAATATAATAAACGAAACGCAATAAAGTAATACTCATACAAAAATTCAAGCCAAATCTGGAATGTAATGTAGATGCCTTTGTTAAGTAGGAAGAGTTTTCGATAATATTTCCAGATACAGATATGAAATATCATGTTACATATGTTAAACACACACACACATTTTACATGGTACGACGAAACAATTTTCACCATTTTTTTTAATTTCCTTCATGCGGTTTGTTTTGGATTTTGTTGACGGCATTCTATTGTACGGTTAGTTGTGCACCATCTGTGAGAGAAAGACCATCATGACACAGTTCTCACCGCCAGAAATTTGGAAACGGCATATTGCACCAGACGCTACAAATACGATAATTTCAGAATATTTGGGTGTCAATCTGAGGACAGTGCAGAGAATTCGGTAAGAGTTGCATGTGTCTAATGATGAAGACGTATAGAGTGATCGCAAGTGATGGCGACATTGTAAATCTATTCATCTTCTGACAGGGTCTCAGACTCAACTCTCAAGCCTACATCAAGTGCCTTTAGGAAGTAGAAGGTGGCTGCTGGAAGCCCCTGTGTCTGGCAACAGGACTCTGCACCATACCAAATATGCAAGAGAACCCAGTCATGGCCGTCATACAGTTTCTGCGACCACATCACACTTTAAATCTGGCAAACTAATTCCCCAGTCTGGAACTCCCTTGAGTATTATATGTGTAGCGCTGTTGAACGAGAGACAAACAAAACTCATTGTAACACCAAAGATGAACTCATGGACGTCAGCATTCACCAATTTAAAGAAGGAAACAGTCCAGAATAGATGCAGGAGTTTCGAAGTCGTCTGCAGGCCGTGGTTGAAGTTAATGTTGATTTTATTGAATATATTCACTCTTAAAATGAGAAAACAATTCACTAAGACTTAGAGAATGCCTTGATTGCAAAGTCATCTACAGTAAATTTGCGTCCGGGCTCTTAAAATTTTTCACGCTCACTATCAAAAGTGATGAAAAGAAAAAGAAAAAAATATGTAAATGAAATCAGCATCATAAAAGAAAAGAAAAGATAAAGGAAAAATTAAAATTACCAGCATCGTTCGTTCGTTCGCATGTGTAACTGCACCAACATAACAAATTTAGTTGGATGAAGTCCTAAACCTTTTTAATTTTTTCGTATATTTCCCCTAATATTGTTCTTGATATGTAAAAATATATATGTCTTTCCACACACACACACACACACACAACACACACACACACACACACACACACATATATATATATATATATATATATATATATATATATATATATATATATATATATATAATATTTTGGGATTGGTTTGTGTTTGCGTTTTTCGGCATATCAACCTCAATGGGTTATTTAATGACGACAACTTTTTTTTCCTGGTAATATTTTGTTTTGTCAAAAATCTATTTCTGGTAATATTTTTCCTAAAATATGTTTACCTGATAATATTATTTTAAAACATGTATTGCTGGTAATATTGTTTTTTTTTCAAAAATATATATTACTGGTAATAGTTTTTTTTTCTTCAAAAATTTATTTTTGGTAATAAGTTTTTACACAATAATTCTGGTATTAAAACTTCTTTTTACACATCATAATCATTTTTAACTCAATTTCGGGGTTAACTATTAGCCCATAGCTGGGACCCTAACAGTTGCTACCACCCGGGGAGAGAATGGAGCTGGGAATACCAGAAATTAAGTGGTTGTTCCACGCTCCTCAAAACCTCCTGATCAAAAGAGTTGCTGTTAGACGTAGTTTATAGTCTTACACTGGACCCGGATGTAGCTGTCATCATACCCAGGACGGACGTTAAACAATAGATAAATCAAACATTGCTGTGATTATTTAACATTAACACATATGCAGATTTTAAAGGCCATCTGCGTTCAAAACAAGAAACATTTTGCCGCAATGTCTACTTAGGATAAGACCGAACTTGGAAATTCGAATTTACCTATTTGTGATCAAAATAAAAAGAATGCAGCTCTTTAAATTCATACGAGATCTCACGAATGACCTAAGCAACGATTAATTTAAGTGTGTTGTCTTTCTCGAGATCGAGTGAACAGTCATCACCTTTATATTAGATATATCTATATCTATATCTATCTATATATATATAAATCTAAATTATTTCTCATACTTTATTTGTAACATCTACGATGTTTAATGTCATATAATAAAAATTGAACATGGTAGTATATTAATAAATCTTTTGCAAAAGACAATATACAATATAAGGGACATGGGACAAAGGAAATTACGGTGTTAATGCAAAGCCAGGAGGCAACAAAGGGCGAATAATGATTTTGAAAACAATAGTGCTTTATGAAAAACAAATACGAGAATATGATCGCCTGGCAGATATGGAAGATTAATAATATGACTGATAATACATCCGAAGAATTGTGCATTAATTTGTTATCGACGAAAGCCTTACGGTGTAAATGGCTACCATTGTAGTCTAATACATCACCAATGAACGAATGCAGCCCAACATTCTTGTTTTCTGATGATAATATTCTTGTTGACCAGTATAGTAGGAATTTGTTATATTCTAATAGGCAGTTACTCAAAGTGGATCTGATCCGGTATTATTTAAAGCGGAACACTGCAGTACTGAAACAGTTGCTAAGATTTTGAATATTATCCCACCCAACCAAAAATACATAATTACAACTTTATGAATAACGAGGGGGTCGCGAAGGATCCTCTACGTGATCAGCTCGACTTGTCAGAGGAGGAGTTTGGCTCTTTCTGGTCTTGGGCGGTGGATTATCTCAGTAACCCTGAGTTTTCGCTTGCCTGGCGACTGGTTCAGAATAAGCTATCGTGCTTACGCCTGTGACAATGTGTCGCCCCCGTATTTTCGGATGAAACGAATGGTGTTTCTAACGCTGCTGGCCACGACGCGACAGGAGGAAGCTTACGAAGTCTTAGCGAAAAGTGAATGACTGAGGCGTGTTTGTTTCGTGTGAACAAGGCTAGGCTTGATGTTCTCTTCTAGGTCTACCTGTGTCACAACGGAGTGGTGT